AAAAAAAAAACTCAAGATTTATATCTTCACGAACACAAACAAATAATATTAAATGTATGATTTCAACAAAGAAAGAGTTGTAATTATATTAGACATATCAAATTATTTTACCTTGTAAAATCAAATTATGTAAGAATGTCTAACCATTTTCATTATAGATATATCTCCTATAATTTGCAAAATATAATCAAATAAGTAAAAAAATTATCTAGCAAAAGAAGAAAAAGATAAAGAATAAGGAGAAAATTACATTTAATCATAAGTCCTCCTACACATATAATCATTTTTGACAAAACATAAATAATCCAAAAGGAAATAATATAATAGAAACATTACTTCTTAAGCACTAAAAAAATAAAGAATAATCAATCTATATAGCTAAAAATCCATTAATCTCCATCTTTGGATGATTTCATTTCATCCTATATACAAGAGTCAAGAAAAATAATAACAAATTATTACTCCTAAAATGAATCTCCATTTTTATGGTTATAAAGAGAATCATAAAAATAACAAACCAAAATAATTTATCCAAAAGAAACAAAAATATGCTTTGACATATTAGCCTTACTTGCTAATTAAAAGTAATATATGAAATCATATTTCCAAAAGATAATGCACCTTAAAGCTTAAAAATATTGTAACATGTCTACCACTAATTCTCTAATTGAAGATCACTACAATATAACACACAATTTTAGGGTGATTTTATAGTGTTAATATAACCTTCTACATTAAATAATTAGAGGTTACAAATATGAAAGGCTTGAGAGGTTATGAATATGAAAGGTTTGGGAGTTATGAATATTATTAATTCTAATTTAAGAATAGAATTTATATAATTGAAGAGGTATAAGTTAAGAAGATGATTTTGCAAGAAAAAAAATAATTGAAAGAAATAATAAAAAAAGGTCAAGAAATAGAGAGGTGCCACATCACCTTCTCTATTGGCTTTTCAATTATAATCTATTCACTCCCACCTCCTCTACACCTCAACCAGTGTGGCCGTCCTTTCACCTTATATGTGAACCAATCATTGTCTGAATCATTTCCTCCTTTTAAGCCTTATTCTGTAGCCTTATTTTGTACATATATAATTATTGTTGAACATAGATATACAAGTTGGAAGATTGGTATTAAAATCATCAAGTTTGAGCTACATGATGAACATTTCAAGACCAAACATAAGGATATAATATACTAATTTTAAATTGGAAAACTAATATTTATGACAGTGCCATGATGTTTTGAATTGGAAACTGAAATTTAGGATAATAATGTTCTAAATTTTGAACTGAAAAATCCAAACTTAGAATAGCAAAATTCACAATGTTAAGTTTTGATTAATATTTAATACTTTATACTTATAAGTTGCATTTAGAAGTTTTGAAGTGAAAATACATAATTTAGGGATACAATTTCTTGAAATTTGAACTGAAAAATTCAACTCATCTGAAATATTAAACTAAGAAAATGAACATGAGGATATAGAATTATGAATTATGAAATTATCTCACAATACCAAAACTGCCCTTATTTGTCGCATCACATTTTCAGCACAAGGTACAATTATTTTAAGTTGTATTAGTCCTTTAGAAGTGCCACTTCTAAATAAGGGTAATAAATATATAATATAGGAGTAAAATAATAAGAGAAAAGAAAATTGATGGGTAAAATGTTCTTTAAAATTTGTATAAAATAGAGAAATCTCATACCGTGCTAATTACATCCTATTCCGGAAGTCTTCTTAATTACAATAATTTTGAAATTTTCATTGCTCTCAGATACATTACTCAATTGTTCGATACATTGCAAATGATACATTACTTAAGATTCAGTTGCGTCGAATATATTCCTCTACTGTCGAATACATTGGTCTCTACTCCGTTGTTGTGTCATACATTCCTCTATTGTCGGATACATTGATCTCTACTGATTCTGTTGTGTCAGATACATTCCTCTATTGTTGGATACATTTGTTTCTACTATGTTGTTGTGTTGGATCCATTTCTGTATTGTGGGATACATAACTATATATGAACATGATTCATAATGGGAGGGATGTATCCAAGAGGAGATTTTTGTAATTTTTATAAATGGTAGGAAATTTTACATACATACTACTTGGCTGGAATATTAAAACTTTTATTCAATGACTAAAATATCCCAGCACATAGTACAATTTTTGTGGCCGTGTTCAGGAGTGCACGTGGTTTGCTTACAAACTAAATAACAATACACGTGTCAACAGGGAAAAGATGAAGGCTCATCCCAAACAATTAACTTTGAATCTTGAATTAGAGTCGCTAATGAACTCTGTTTACTAATATTGCAAGTGAAATTCTCATCAATGTCAATAGGAATTTTGAAACGCGAATGAGCTGTTCGTCCTCCTGGAGTACTATTTGACTCCTCTCTAATTCAAAAACGTTTCATGCACTTGCCAATTAGAACTTTTGGATCCTCACTCGCTTAAACAATTGTGTTGCTGAGTGAGGCAAGTGACCGAGAAAAACAGTCAACTTCTACAAACAGACCTGCTTTGGAAAATGATTGATTTCAGATTCTCTAATTTTCAAGCCTTCAAGTACAATTTCATATCCTTTTCAAACTTTTAAGATTTGTAGGGAACCATATTGTTCTATTTTGGATGATGTTGTATTAGTATTTAGTAGTTATTCTTAGATAGAAGTTATGCTTTTAGTATCATCTAAATTTCTTCCGTTATTTTTGTATTGTTTGAATTGCAACTTCTGATTTATTAGCAGACTGGCAGACGATACCAAAACACCATAGTTTATCATATTCATAATTACAATTGTGGAATTGAGAGGATGATCATACAATAGGAGACTAATGATGTTTGGAAATGATTTAGGTAATATTCATTTCCTTAATGAGTTATTATCTGTATTTTT